TTTTTGTTTAAATGTTTATTAGTATAATTTGGAAAGGTTCAGAATATGATAATCGAGTGCTTTATATATTCTAAAATATATGTGTGTTGTACTTATAATTTAATTTTCTTATTTCAGAAACCATAATTAATTGTCGAACTGATTCTACGATTGATAAAATACAAGCCGTTATTAAATCATGGTTACAACATGCTGGCGATCGTCTTCCTAAAGAAGGAACAAAAAAAAATAAAAATAATTTAAAATAATTTTTCGTAAATCTAATTTTACTTTACATACATTTTATAATTATATGTAAAAACAAAAATGTTTTTTTAAATGATTACTATTAGTAATTTTCACTTCAAACACATTTTAGTTACGTGAAAACAAAAATATTTTATTTTTTTTAAATAATTACTAATGTTTTTTAAATAATTATTATTATATGAACATTATATAATATATTGTTAATTATTATTAGTGATTTTCACTTCAAACACAAATTTCCAGTTATGTGAAAACAAAAATATTTTATTTTTCTTTAAATGATTATTAATGTTTTTTTAAAAATAATTATTATTATATAAACATTATATAATATATTGTTAATTAATATTTTAATATTATTTATATTTAAAAAATATCAAAATAATATAAATAATAATATAATAAATAATCCAATGATTTATTTATTATTTCAAAGTAGCCATCATTGAAAAATATGATACTGAAATTAGTTTAATATATCTCTAATATAAAATGGTTTGTTTTAAATACTAAAGTCTCTAAAAATCGATTGAATTTAATTCTAGCGCATAGAGTTATCGCATTTAATGGCTATTAAACAAATTTCAGTGTCACTTTTAAAAAGCCATTTAATAATATAATTTTATGTAAGCAGATGACAATTCAAAAGAAGCTTCTGGTGAGATATTTAGCAAGCTTTCCAAATAAGGGAAGGATATATGAACGACAATATGAATATAAGGATCTCTGTCCTTCATTATCAAAACCTCTCTTTGAGGAGCTCACTAAATATCTCACCAAAAAGTTTGCATTTTTTTAGTGTTTTGAACATCTTCGAATAGATGTCTTATTAACATCATAAACGTGAACTCTTAAAGATATCTAATTTTAGATATCTTTTTGACATCTACTTTAGATATCTTTTTGACATCTAATTTTAGATATCTTTTTAATATCTAATTTTAGATATCTTTTTAATATCTAATATAAGATATCTTTTTGATATCTAATATAAGATATCTCAAAAAAGTTATCTGTTTGATAACTATCGGAAGAAGTCTGTTTTCCCTCTCAATGTGGCGCATAAGAGCTCTTTCTGATATCATTAAGTTATCTTTTTAAAGAAATTTTTGGATGTCCAAAACGTGAATGAGAGAACATTAAGAGTTCTTTTTGTTAACATTTTGCTGTATGGGTTATATCTTTTGCTGGGATTGGTTGAATCAGCTTTTACAAATCTGGTTCAACCATTTTACACCAATTATTAGCGTATTTTCTTAAATATAGATTATTATACTAACGTGTTCTCATAGCGCACTGAAGATGACATACATTATTTGACGTCATTACTCAATCGACTAATCATCGGCCGTTTTTACGTCACGTAAAAAATTTGAAAATTGAAACATTTTATTAATTAATTTTAATCATTTAACAATGTAAAAAATTCAAACTTTTAGTGTTTATATTGTTTAAATAACATATACATTTATTTAAAAAATTATATATAGTTTGTTATTTTGTATACTTCCCTATTCGTATCGTGTAATTTTAATGGTGAAAGGTTAATAACAGTTTGTATCGTGTTAATTTAACGATGATAATGTGGTGTGAATATCTCTCTAAGGAGTAGATAATATGGTATTATTAAATGATAATATTGTTCAATATTATATATGTATATATATATATATAACAAAAGACAACTTAAAACGAGAGTAAAGAACATGTAAATAATATAAAGTTAGATTCGTCAAGACACTCGGTCATCTCGGAACATATTCTTAATTACCAACACTCATTTAATTGGGAAGACATAAAATTTTATATTCCGAATCTAATTTTCAGAAGAGAAATGTTTCTGAAATGATTCATATAAAGGAACAAAAAAACGGTCTAAACTTAAAAAAAGATACCGATATGCTTGACGAGTCATATTTTGACATTCTAGAAGAATTGTCGTAAATAAATAATAATAATAATAGGAGTCACGGTTTGAATTCGACATATCATATTGTGACACTGTATAATAAACACATTGACTTGGCGGAATCTTGACTACTCATCAATTTAAGTAAGCACTTTTAATCATAATCAAGATCTTTCATAAAAAAATAACTAATTAATATAAATTAATATACCAAAAAATAAAAATATACTTAAACAAACACGGTGAAATACACTACAATGATGAACCTATTCGGAAATATGCTTGATGATGGGGACTAACTTTTTGATGCTGGATAACATCTAATTGTTTCAATTCTCATATTAAGCAGTTCTGATGATATTCTCAACTAATAATGTGCAAAAGGATTGATGACGTGGAATGGACTGTCAACTTGATCTAATAACAACAGTGAGCTCATTTGCATGTTTTTTGACATATTCAAAAGTTACCATCTCAGTTAAAAAATGGTTAGCCGATCAAAAACAATATCTATTTTAATAAATGATATAAGCGTCACCCAATATAAATTTAATGACTCATCAAACCAAAGGTTCATTACAAAATAGACTCCAATGCGTAATATTTCTTAATTTTTTTTTTATATATTTACTGAAGAAGGCTGAGGTAACAGCCGAAACGTTTATTTTTATTTTTTATTAATATCATTGTTTTACATTAGCTTTATTGTGTAAGATGGAAACATGCGACGAATCGAAGTCATGATGAAGTGAAGCTCTGTGTTTACTAATGACCGAGTAATTAGATTCATGTTTCTTAATATTATAGAATTATGTTCTTTTATGCGTGTCCGAAGGTAACGTTTGGTTTCCCGATATAACATGAAGTGCAATTCTTACAAGAAATTCTGTAGTGTGAGCCTTCCCAGTGAGAAATGATAGTTGAATCGACGTCGATTTGTTGTCGAATTGATGTCAAATTCGTCGAATTGATGTCGAATCGATGACGATTCGACCAATCATTTCTCACTGAGTTACTTCATCATGACTTTGATTGGTCGCATGTTTCTATCTTACATAATGAAGCTAATGTAAAAAAAGAGAAATAAGTGAAATGATTTTTATCAAAAAACATAAGAATTCGATAAATTTGCAAAGAAACACGGAAAATTTAAATTCTATTTATGACGATATTCTTAATTTATTTTAATCCTTTTTAATGTATTATATTAATTTATGTTATTATTGCATTATATTATTTTATTATTTTTACTTTACCTTTAATTATTCAGTGTTAGGTGAACATGATGTAACATTAAATCATGTTTAGTACATATGTGAAGTAAAGAACGAGGTTTCATTCGTTTTGTATCGCTTCATGGTGAACATTGTTATCACGGTTGTGAACAAATACCTACTATCTCGTTATTTAAGATGTATTAATTAATATTAACATTTAACATCAGCCTAAAGAGGACCCAATTCAGGGTCGATACGTTGCTGCACAAATAAATTAACACCATTAATAATAGCCAGTTGGTCGTTTAAATATTTTCCCGTATATATATATATATATTAAATTTCTGATTTTGCATTTTATTTAAAAGCATCTTTATTTAGTGTAACTTATGGTAAACTCACTCAGCGGAATTTCCAATTCTATTCAGTAAAGATTCAAATTATTCACTTACAAGTAAAGTTAACTTTCTGTTACTTGCCGATTTTGATGAAACTCAGTATACTTGTACAGTAGTCAAAAATAATAGACACGTATTTTTTTATATCGGTAATGGTGCACTTTTAAGGTGCACTCAATCAATATTATGTTCTAAAAAATTCATTTTTTCTCGCTCTTTGCCGAACCCAGGAATAACCAATGAGAAAGTGACGAGAATCTATATTCCCACTATTTTTTGTATTTCTATTATTTATTTTTTTTAATTTAAAAATTTTTAATATTTTAATTTAAAATATTTTTTTTATGTTATCTATATGTACCATATAATCACGTTACTTCTCACTAATTTTTTTATTTTTATAATTTTCGCAGAAATAATATATAAAAAAAAATCTTTTATACATAACGAATTTTCACACCAAGTATACTTTATAATTGTTATCGTTGCATAATGCACATGTATCTTCACAATTTTTAAATTTTATATAAATTTATAAATTATTCAAGTATTCGTGGTACAAAAATGGCTACTTACAAGAGAAACTACTTATGTAAGTTATAGATAATCCCGTAGATTATTGTTTTAAAAATTGTAAAGATACATGTGCATATTATGCAACGATATAGCAATCATAAAGTGTGCTTGGTGTGGAAAAATCGTTATGTATGAAATATTTTTTTATCATTTCTGCAAAAATTATGAAAATGAAAAAATAAGAGAAAAGTAACGTAATTATAGATAATTTAAAAACAATTATAAAAAATTAAAATATTAAAAATTTTTAATTAAAAAAAAATTTTTTAATTAAAAAAATAAAAAATAAAAATAATAAATAATAAAAATACAAAAAGAAATAGTGGGAATAGATTCTCGCCACCTTCTCGTCGGTTTTTTTTGGATTCGGCAAAGAGCGAGAAAAAATGGACTTTTCAGACCATAAATTGGTTGCGCAAACCTTAAAAGTGCACCATTGTCGATATAAAAAAATACGTGTCTATTATTTTTTACTACTGTACAAGCATACCGAGTTTCATCAAAATCGGCGAGTAACAGAAAGGTAACTTTACTTGTTAGTGAAAATTCAAACTCTATTTAGCCGAGACTCGAATCTTGTTTAGCTGAGTGTCGATAAAGTAGGATTTGAATTTTTCCTATAAGCGAGATTCGACGTGATTCGAGTTTTCCCTCCCTAAAGCAGATAAGTTTCTGGTTTTAGGTTGTACGCAAAAGAGTTTTGCAAAAAATATTAGATTTGTTTTGTGTGTAAGTGTAAGGGCGTTTTGTGTGCAAGAATATCTTTTGGTTTCAAGAATTTATCATTGTAATTCTCGTTGATTGATAATTTAAACAATTTCTAACAATTTTATCATATTTTTAACTTATCTTTCTTACATATCTTTGTTGTACTTACATGATCTTTTGAAGAAATAATGTTTTTACTCCTGTGAAATATTATTGTGCCACTAAATAACGTAAATTTAAAATAGATCAATGTAATATTAATACTACATAAAATTTAGCTTTATTTTATACAGTATTTTGGGAAGCTCTGTTGATTCTGAATTAAATTATGGAAAAATATTTGCATAAAAGAAGGATATTAATCCTGTCGTAATTTTAAGATAACTGAAGAGAAAAGTAAACCATTTTACATTAGTTACATTGTTGCTATTACAAAATATATTAGGAAAATCTATTTTTCTACATCTAAACAATGATGTTGAGATTTAACATATTAAGACGAAAGAAGAAATTGTTTTATTTTTAACTTTAACTTAAATTGCATGTATGTCGCATCAATATTTAGTTACAATATTACATTTATAACAGGTATAATGGAAAATGTAAAAAGGACATTTGATGTAAACCAGAAGGCAATGGTCAACAAGCTACATAACATGCAGTGGCTGAAACATGCATCTCATTCATTGAATCCGTATGTTTAATCTTTACTTAATATATAATTTTTGTATTGACATTGCTCTTGTGTGATATAAATTTTATTATTCATAATTTATCAATAAGTCAATCTCTATGTATGTATTTTTCTCCTTAGTAATGCTATAGTTGTATAATGTATTAATAAAAAAATCTTATAATTATTGATTGTGCAATATATTACTTATATATAAAATATACAATTAATATGTAATTAATATATAAGTTATATTATTAATTTAAAGTATATAAAACTATCACAAGTTATACTTAAGTTTATAATATGCATCGATACTCTGGTGCATATGTGCAGGATCTTATATAAATTAAGAAAAATAAAAATCTTTAAAGACAGAGATTATAATAAATCTTTTCAAGAATGAAAAAAGGATGTGGAATCTTGCTCTTTTCGATTAGTTGGAATTTTTAAATTTTAAGATACATTAATACAATAAAAATATAAAATGTAGGATCTACAGTTCTGGAAACTAGTTCATACACAATTTATATTAATATTTGTTTTATATAAATTTTTAACTAGCTGGGTATATATAAATGGATGGATTAAAAAAGATATATTTCTTTTTGTAATATTGCTTCTGCTTATACTTGAAAATTATTTTTATCGATTTGTTATTTCAGTGGAAAGGTGAAGCGTATACAAAAGCTTGATGCGAATAATAAATTAGAAATTAAAGATTTATTAACAGAAAATATTGAGACATTATACTCAATTGAAGACTCTCACAAATATCATTCCATGAAGCCATACAAAAGAGATTTATCTATTGATGTAATGCAAGATGATGCATATTTACCTAACTCGTTTCCAAATTCCAAAATGTTGATTAATCGTAAGGATAAAGGAGAAAAAAAAAATATGTTAATGATTGCAAAAAGCATTGCAACAGCAAAATTGGACGCTCAATGTTATTCAAATAAGATGAAAAAGATCAATCAAATAAAAAAATATCACAAAATAATGCTGAAGATATTATGCAGTAAGTGTAAAGAAAACTTAATTTTTTAATATAATTATATATTTTTTTATATAATTTAATTTTTTCTATATAATCGACATGTTATTTTAGTATTTATATTATTTTGTTGTACCATAAATATTTGTACTATTTTTAGGGATGTATGTTCAAATTTTTCCAATTTACAAGTTGATCCAGACATGCAAGAACGAAATTCAAGAATACGTTTTGATGGTAATAATAATTATTCTAAATCTACTCAATCATGTATGCCAAAAGTAAATAATAAACAAAAGCCAACTATTAGAAAAGTAACTGATAAAAATATTAAAGCTTCTATGGAAACAAAAGATAAAGGTAAGTTTATATCTATTTAATATGTATTTAAAATATAAGTTTTTTAGAATAATTTATAACATTATTATTTAATATCAAATTGAATACTTAAATAAAACGTTGCTAGTGATATTTAAAATAGGAACGATATATTAAATTCGACCCAAACTAGCCAAGAAAGTTTTTATTTTATTTCCACAACGTTTCGACCATCTGTTTTTGGTCCTTTTCAAGTGAGAAACTAGAATGATACAATTAATTAAAATTAATAAATATAAACATTTTAATGTTAAACGCAAGAATTAAAATTTACATACTTTCTTAATAAAAGCGCAGTTAGTTGACACTGTTGTCATTATTAAACAATAAGATTATTTATTTTCATTCATATACGACCAAACTGGCTATGATTATATATATATATATATATATATATATATATATATATATATAGGTAGATGACTGTAAGGTAGATCACAAGTGAGAACTGTGCACAGAATTTCCTTCACACATATTAAATATTGTCAAATATTAAAATAGATGTTTCGCAGTTAAATTGATTTTGCACAGTGATTATTTAATATAATAATTTATAACAATATTTAATATAATAATTTATAATATTATTTAATTTGTTTATTAAATTAAATTAAGTTTATCAAATTAAATTAAAGTAGATAATTAAATTAATAAATTAAATTAATTTATATATTTATATTTTAATTATTTATATATTTTATAACATTATTTGATTTGTTTAATTGGTTTATTATGTAATTTTCAGATTCACAAAAAACAATAAATGCATTGAGAAAGAATATAAAGGATGAAGATAGTACAAGTAATAATGATGAATCTTCCATTCTTATTAACAATTCTAAGAGATCAATTTCTAATTTGTCAAAAACGCCGACTTTTGTTAATAAGGATATAAAAGTGGATCGATTTATAAAAAAACCATATCTGCAGGAAATAAAGTAGAAAAAATAAAAGATGCAAATTCAAGTTTAATGGGAACAGATTTTGAGACAAAATTTAATAAAACCGTTGATATGACATACAAAAATAACAGTATAAATAAGGATGAGATATTGCAAAAGCAATATATAGTTTCTGAACAATCTGTATCAAAAATGGAAGAGCCTCTTGAGAAAAATGCACAAAAAATGGACTATGCTGTATGTAAAACAGATACATTATTCTGTAATAATGAA